ATTCCTGCTCCCCATGGGAGCACGTTTTTCCCATGTGCTGCAGGCGCCTTGCAGCAGCTCTTCTACCTACCGGAAATACGGTGAATCCGAGGTAGTACTCGATGAGGATACAGCCTATGCTCCACACGTCACAGGGCTGCGCCCACCCCAGTGCTGTGGAAATTGAGATGGTTCATGTTTATACAGAACTAAGAACCATTTAAACAGAAGCCACAGTACTACCCTAGCACAGTTCAGTGTTTGTTACAGACAAAATGAGGTAAAAGCTTAACTTAGACTGTATAAGCTCACATCAGCTCTGGGAAGCACAAAGTGTTCCCAAGGTTCAGGCTTATGTAGAGCACATTGTTAACTCGGCCCTTTCCATCACAGTGTATTTTCCATGTCTCCAGTGCTTAGTCTAACCACAAGTTGACTTCTAAAGCCCTTGGACAGAAATCAAGTCTACTAACCTAGAATAACTTCAGGTGCTCGGTAATGTCTTGTAGACACCAAAGTACTGTGATGTTCGTCGTCATATGTTGCACTCCCGAAGTCCACAACTTTGATGTCTGGATTTTTTAGTGTGCGCTCGTCACGTTTCTGAAAAAGTGAAGCACACAAATGCAGATGATGAAGTGCAGATGATGAACCCAGCTGGCTGCTGAGAGGTGGGTAGAGGAAGACAGTGGAGTCTTACCAGTTTGGGATTATATTCTTCCACATAATCAGATTTCACAAATAAAATATTTTCAGGTTTCAGGTCTGTGTGTGTCAACTTGTTCAAATGCAAGACTGCAAGATAACATGCGTAGTTAACACGCTATTCCAAGAAAACTTAACAGCGAATCCAGCAAGACCCAGACTTACAGTTCACAGATTTGCAGATCTGATAGGCCATCTGCCTGATGTGGTCCAGGCGAAATGGCAAAAAGCCGTTCTCTTTAATAAAGTCATAGGTACTGAGGCCCAACAGCTCAAAGACGATGCAGACGTGTCCATGGTGCTCAAACCATTCTAACATTTGGACACAGCGACTGCAAAAACAGGAAAACCACATCAGCTACCACACTCAGTTAGAGGTACATGGCTATATAATCTTGTCAATTACGAAGTTAAGAGACTTTTGGAGATCTAAGGGTTTTTTGTATCAATAACCTGATCTAATATAAACAGAAGAGCTCACAAGAACAAACCAGTGTGCGTGGTTCAGGTGAGGCACCCAGCACAGCTGCCTGGCAGTAACTTTTCCTCACCTCATAAATTCGGGATAGCAAGTACCACTGAAGCACCACCACCAGACACTCTCCTCAAGTGCCCATTGGAGGCACTTCAAGAGGCTGGCTGTAAATTCAGCTAGTGAGGCCCTGCACAAGCTAATTAGTCATTTATTTGCACAGGCTTCCTTTTTTTTTGGGGGGGGGGGGGATTTTGGCTTTATTTACTTAAAAAAACAACCACATGATAGCGAAGGTAGCGTTCCTATACTGCATAGCCGATCAATACTATGGCTGCACGGACTAAAGCCAGGTGACCTTCACAGCTCTGAACGGGCTACGACTCCATGGAGGAGAAAGCACTGCAAGAGGCCTAGTGAAAGCTCACTGAGCTAGAGAGCGACTTGTGTGCAGCTGCACAGGCGTGTGCAGAGGCAAACAGCACAGCTGCTCTGCAACTATCAGAGATACCAAACAGGAGTAACCTTAGCTGATTTAGAAAGCAAAGTACTCAAAAGTTACTAATTAGCAATTCTGGGCTTGTAATATAACTGTTTTCCATTATAAAAATGCAGCGAAAACAAGGTACAATCTTCTTTGCATACTTACTATGTACTGCTGGGATCCGAGGCATTTAAATGTTCCAGTACTTGTATTTCCGAACGAGCTGCTTCAGAATACCTATCAACATTTTTTACTATTTTCACAGCCACATGCCTACCTCCCCTGAAAAAAGAAGCGTTTTTATGGTGAGTTATAAGTATGGATAGTTATAACTAAGAAAATTTGGCAATTATCCCCATAAACACCGTTTATAACAAAATTCAATATTGAACCTTAGCAGAAAATATATTTTTAAGAATATGTGCTGACTTAAACATACCTAAGTTTCACATGTTCCCACATACAACCGAATAAATACTTAAGAATTATTTACTTTGAAAATATACTCAATACCTTCTATCAGTATTACTCCTAAAGGTTAAAAAAAAATGATTTGCCTCCAATTGTTTATTTATGTGTACTGGGCTAATATGAGAGGGAAGTTGATGCTTTGCAGCCTTACGCAGCTGTCAGTCAGAAACATTAAGTTGTTTTCAGTGATTTGAGCAGTTAAATTAACTGAGCTGTCAAATATATTCTACGGTGACTAGAAAAGATAATTTTATTCCAAAAACATACAAAACCCCTGACACTGAACAAAAATATGTTCCCAATCTGTAATACAGTAACTGCTAGAACCCAAATGGTATTGCATCATCACAGGTTATACACTCTGAAGTACAATGTGAGGTTTTACACCTACATTTGGGAACAGCAATAGCCTCAAGTAACCCAACTCTTAACCGGTCACCCAAATACACCATAAGGTAAAGATAGGAAACTTTGTTCCCCTCCTCAAAAAACGGAAACTGAGTAAATAACTGGAATAATTTAATCCTCCAGTTGTCGCCCTAGAACATTTGTTATTCCCATACTAATCCCATTTATGAATAACCACTACCCTCGATTTTGTTATGTCTACATTTAAAGGAATACACAGATCAGCATATTAGCAAGTGATTTGATCCAATCAATCTGAAACCACTTCATTACTACGTACACCCTGATGGCATCACTAAGAAAACCCTCAAGTAGCAACTGAAACACACTTACGCCTTGTGATCGATGCATTCCACCACTTTTCCAAAAGCGCCTTCACCCAAAGTAGCAACAATCTCATCTAAAAAGAAAACAACTCTCAGTCACAGAAGTTGTGAATTTATTCAACCATTCAAAACAACAACAACAAAAACAATCAAGTACTATCATTGAAGATTATTCTAGACTGTGCTTCTATAAAAACATAAGTACAATTTGAGAGATGTTACTGGACAACTCTCATCAAGACATATTTACAGATATTTCATTCTAGGTTCATTAACTTCATTTACTATTTTGGAAAAAAAAAGAAAAAAAGGAAAAAAAAAGAAAAAAGGAAAATATTTAAAGTTCTACAGAAAAAAAGAACAATATCCCCCCAACAAAAGACAGAAAAAAAAAAAGACTTTCAAAGCCCCCTCACATCTTACGCTAAAAGAAATTATTCTATCTGAAAGGTTAATAAGTTTTGAAAAATATTCTATACATCTTGCACTTAGTACGTCTCCACTCTGACAGATCAGGTGACCCTCCTCATCATCCTCTACACTCCTGGATCTTTTCCTTCGATGACTCTTCTGGAACGGCACCAAGATCGTCCAGCCAATCAATAAACCCGAGTGAATTCAGGGTAGAATACGAAATTCATTCAGCGGGGAGATATTCGGGCATTCAGATACACGCCAGGCCACAAACGGCAGGAGCAATTTCAAATTCAGTCCCCAGAAATTCACAGGGCACAGTTTATGTTACAGAAGAAAAACATGGCAAGGAACAGATTTTCAGATAAGATACTCAAAGTGGAAAGGCAACAAAAAATTACAACACATTTTTTTTTCTTTTAAATTATAGATTCACTGAATTTTACTTTAGAATTTCAGTGCCTTTATTTGAAAATAAAGAATGTAATAAATTACCATCTACATAAAACAGCCTTTAGGCCAAATTAAAATACGTAAGTTAAGCAACTTATAATAAATCACTTGTCTAAATATTTAATAACTTAAAAATTATAAAAATAGCATATACATTTACTTTAGGCTGTCTCAGCTGAAGAGCTTCAATTGTAAAACCTATCTATGGCTTTTTTAACAGTTAAATTCATAACAAAGGTCAGAAAGCATGCCCTGCTACTGGACAGACATCACACATATTTGATTCTACAGGCTATTTCATCAAAGCTCAAAATATCTTAGCCAATAAATAAATAACTAAATACTGTAAAAATTTGGCAGTATATCCTTGCTATTCAGTGATACTAAGTTTAGCCAAAAAACGAATTTCAGAGCTTATATTTGGATTTTTAGCTATGACTGAATTAAATACTTGTCATAATAAAAAAAAATGAAGGCATTAAGGTGATGTCTGCATTTCAAATACTTCAGTTGATGGTTATTGTCCGTTAATCAGCTCAAATATATCCAGTGAACAAGCAGCAGAACTATGTCTTCCATGTAGTATCATAAGTATACCTACGAACTATGAAAATTCCTTACCGAAGAGAAAAAAAAATCCTAGCAAAAAGCAATATATCAGTAATAGTCATTAAGATATCCCCAAACCCCAATACTCAATTATTACTGCCTAGATGAGAATTTATCTTCTTAAAATAGAAATTCCTAAGTTAAAAATTGGTCATACCACCTGTGAATGATGATGGTGAGAGGCACTGTGATGTGTCTTGTATTTCCTTTTGTAACTACTCCTCCCGCTATGGCCTGATGACTTGCTACTATGATTGTGATAACCATTTTCATGGTCTCTGTGATGGTGCCCATTATCATATCCTTGACTGTACTCGTTTCTGTATTCTTCGACATAGCGCCGCTCATGATGGTCTCTTTCATTTATGGATTTGGTTTCTGAATAGTTACTACAAACAAAGCATTAAGTAAACTTTATTTAAACAATTCCAGAACCCCTAGCAAGGCAGGATTTTGCTTTAAACTGTAAGACATCCCTGTTGAAATATCTGCAACTTAAAAATTAATACATTTAATACATCAACAGAAACTTATCAGAAATATTAACCTTATCAGAACAGTAAAATCTTAAAACAGATGCTTGCTATTGTCAGAAGTCAGAAAGTTTTTTACCTCTCCGGAAGTTTAGAAAGATCGTGTTTGAAATGCTTGTTCTCCCGTGCATTACTGAGTGATCTCCTTTTTCTCTTATGACCACTGCTGCACCTCCTGCGATCCCAACTTTCTTTTTCATCCCACTCAGGATAATTAGTTCGTCTGGAATGCCGCATCTGTGAAAGAAAAGGCATTTTGCTCTTAAGACTACATCCTAGAAACAAACAACTAATTTTAAGAACCATTAATACTGAACTCTCTAACAGGACAATAAAGATTTTAGTTCTCCCTTCTATCACCCAGTTGTAATTTCCCCCATCCCATTTTATTCCATGTTAATTTTACATTCAAGCATTTTCCCCAAATAACCTTTTTTGATAACGGAACTTAAACCAATGATTTTACACCTACTGATAAACTTTTTTTTTTAAAAAAAGCCTTGGCTCAGACACTAAACACTCTGAATTCTGCAAAGCTGGTCAGCAGGGTAGGGTTCCTTCAGACACTTTAATATATGGTAAGCTGTGCATATACTTGGAAAAAAAGGAAAACTTTTATGTGGAACAAAAAAGGAAGGCACACACATACTACCCTGTGTGCTTTTTAAGACTTGAAAAAATTATTTAGCTTTTTATGTTATGTTATGTTTCTATAAACATCTGGAAAATTCACAATGCTAACTTAAAAAGCCAACAGATGGAAATAAAATACAGGCACCTCCTGGTTATTTATCCCCCAAAAGAAAAGCTGAAAGATCTCACTGCAGATTTAACTTTCCAACCGCAAAAATTGACTCCAGCTCACGTGACATACAAGTCCGAACACCGCGACACTACAAAGCGAGACGCGTCATAAGGCGGTCTCCGGACCGGGCTCCTTCACGGGGGCCACATTCCCGCTGGGGGACAGGTCTCTCCCTCGCAGCTGCCCCAACTCCGGCTCTCCCGCCCGAGAGGGGAGACAGTCCCGGCCTCCCCT